AGTATACTAGTTTACTAGACTCTCTTTTATTTTGGGGCGAAGTTTGACCATTGATTAAACTAATAATATATAAATTATATGTCATAAAAATTATACCGTACGAAACTTCCTTCACATGCAAATACAACAATATATTTTTTGTAGAATATATTTTGTATGTATTAGTTATATTAATGGTCAGCCCAAAATACGAGGGGGCCAGTAAACCCAGACAAAAGGAGTACTCCTTTAGGGATTCAATCTAACGTGATTAATCTGAGTCGACTAGAATTTACAAATCACAATTCAGTGGCACATGGTGCAGCTCATAAGACCAATTATTATTTTGCCAGTTGTTTGGCTTAATGACATCTGGACAATCAGAGTTTATGTCGTTACATTGTCAATTTATGTTTCGTATATAAATAGTTACATTCATGTTGAACATAATGTCCCCGCAAAAAAATGGAAAACCGCCATAAGAAACACAAGATATAACAATGTAAACAAAAAAATTACACCAATTAGATATTTTTGGTTGTGTTTTACTTTTAAGGTTCCATATCACGTTAAGAAAAAAAATTACATCTGGTTTACATTTTCCTTGCACTCTTTCTTAAAATTTACGTGACATATAAAATTGGATGCACTAAAGTACAAATTGGGAAAATACATCCCACTACCAAGTGCAATAAGTTGCACGTCTTATATACTATCATGTGGCGAGATATACTACACTATAACATTAAATATATCCATATACCGTTTAAATAAAATTCACATCAAGCTACATTTAAAAATTATGAGTGAGTTGATAGTTTCAAGTAGAACTTAAAATAGATTCATATTTATACATATACAAATCACTCGACCAAGTAAGAACGTCCATGCTCAATGCAGGACACTATGATTACCGAAAAAGGCTTTCACCCTGCTTTATAGATAAAGCAAACAGGACACTATGATTGCCTGTAATGAACATGAAGATATGCATATGCTCACTGCTGGACGCACCGACAATATATTTTGCTTGGGGCGGGGGGAGGGGGGGGGGGTTATTCCTTTGTTCCTATAATTTATATACATGTATTTGTTTTCTGATTTTCTGGAGTGTACATTTTCCCTCCAGTTATAATAAAGTTTGGTGCTTGCATGCTTCTTCCCACCGTAATAGTCCTGCTTAAAAATTGTGCATGTGAACAAATACCCAAAAATATGGTACATACTACCTAAAAATTATTAAATGTACTATCCAACTATTTTCATATACCATATACTATTCATACTTACTTTCTGGTAAGTTAAGTACTATCAATATAATTCTAAAGTAAATAAGATTTGCAGGGACATTTGTGTGCTTATTATTATTAAAATACTCAAATAAATGTGAGGTATTTATGTACGTGAATTTAAATTTTGGACATGGGCTTCACACTAATTGGCTTAATATATGTACACTGTGTAGACATCGACGAGTGCAAGCATGCAGAATTCCAAATCAATAGGTGCTATGGTCAATGTACCAACACGGATGGTGCATTTCAGTGTCGGTGTCCACAAGGAACCCATGGTGACCCCTACATGCCGGGTGGTTGCTTTAGTCTCCTAACAGGTAAGCACCTTTTCTTTCTTCCACATTTACCTTTTGAGATGACAACTCAAGTAGTATATTAAAGATCTCCGATCCTTGGTCAACTATAAATGAAATTAGTTATAATATATGTTGCACATGATCAATTGTAAAATTGCATAAGTTGCACATTAGAGACATAAATAATACTCAAATTTAGAAACGAATGTGCCACTACCAAGTAGTCGTTAAATCAACATGCAAAGCTAAAGTAGATTTAATAAAATGTCATCCAACTTTGCCAAGGTAGAGCCTTTGGACTAATAAACCCATATCAATAACTATGATGTGCTTGGCAATGACTTTGTAATCTCCCATCAATCAAATTCACATGTAGTTGGTAAGTATAAAAATATAATTCTAAATGTACCTAAACAGAAGAAAGAAAAAAACTAATCAAGATAAATAAAAAATCTAGCTCTGCTTAACCAAGATAAAACAATCTTAATATGATTGCAAACATATTATGGTAATAAAGTTGTATAATGTTAGTATATGAAACAATGATACATAAATTATACAGCTCGTAAGTGTACGTTTGTAATCTTATTCTTGTTTTGTAAAGAAAAATAATTATAAGGTCAATAAATAATACATATTCTAAAGATATGTAGATTCTTAATGATAAGTTTTTGGAAATATGCAAACTTAAAATTACAGGCTATATAAATAAAACGTTGAGCATGCTGGATGGGTACAAAAATAACTAATTAATAAAACAATAGTACGTATCACTTTAGTTGCAAAATATTTAGATACACAAAGTTATATATATGATATGCATTTGGAAGGATCTAGAATTGTAAACTTATAACCTCATTTTTAGCATAGCATGGAAACCACTCAAAAACAAAATAAGAGAAAATCAAAGCATCTACGATTGTTTGCTAAGCTTAGTGTGCATATAGAATTAAAAAGGATCAATGAAACCACTCAGGATAAACTAAAAAACATTGAGAAGAATAATTCCTAAAAAAATTATGGATTTTGGATTGGACCATCTAAGCTACTGGACTAGAATATACCAATTTTTAGCTGGCCAAGCAATTTCAAATATATTTATCAATTGATCATGACATAATCTATATTGAACATATTTACACTATGATACAGCCGCATCACAAATGTGAGTCATTTAGGATACCGAGACATGTAGTCTCCACAATCCATGGTTAGAATTTTACAGCCAAGTTCTATTGGAATATATGTCGACAAAAAATCAGTAATGCAATACAAAAGTATATATGCACTGGTAAAGAACACACCAATAGTACAAAAAAAAAGAAGACGTCACCACTCATGAAAAGCCAACTTCACCACAATACAAAATTATTTTTTTTAAAAAAATAAAATTTGGCAATTTAAAGATTTTTTTGGGGGGCTTCTGAGCTGGGTTTGGGCAGAAAAGTCGAGCCCGAGCCTGGCTCGGATGCCAGGCTGCCCCATGATCAGGTTTAGGTAAAAAGCCCATAACATTGTTGGTGGAGACCCATCAATAAGTTTTTGTCAATGGTGACTAACGAGTCAGGAGTCCTGTCTGTGCAATGGTACTAGCACTGGCAGGTCATGCATCAGTAATGACACTTGTAAGGCAGTTGATGTAATTGCCACTATTGACAGGTTGCCGTGATCTGTTACCCATCGGTGGTGACTCGTGTCCTAGTTCCATAGTCCATAATTTTACGCCCCCCCCCCCATGTACAACGTGCTCTGCCTCCGCATTGATATGGACAAATTACCCCAATGTGTTACTATGTTCCATTTGATGTTTGGCCCAGTTGTCAAACTTGTGCTCCAATTTCCCGTTCCCCTTGTCCTTACATCTGATCCCTTGTATAGAAGTTGAAGTATACATCAACTAAAGCATGTTTTTTATCGTTGTAGTGCCGTATTTTTGGAATAAAAATAGTAACTAATATTTGGGAATCAAAAAAGTATGTAGACGTATCACTCAAAATGACCCTAATGAGTATCCATGGTTGATGTGCAAATGAGATCAAAAAAGTGAACACACAAAGCTAGTTCCATTAAGAAATGGAAAACTGGTATACTACTAAGTAGAGAAGGAATTACATGGGAATGTAGGGCATATGTATGTAGTCCTTGTCCTTATAAAGTTTAATGAATTTCACAATATAGATTTTTAGGCACTCGCTATCACCATGTTGGTCCCGGGCAGTCACCTGATTCATGAAATAATTTTCCATGTTGTGTGAATGTTACTAAAATTATCAAGCTTCAGGATGAGACAACTTGCATCCAACAATAAAGAGGGACTATATATATAAAATAGAAGTTCAATCTGCAAACAGTAATCACTGCTGGCCCGTCATGTTGTATATATCTCCGGTTTTCTTTCTCTTCGTTATGCTATTGATCTACATGTGTGCATGCATTATTCTTCCTATAAAATGATTTGTATAGATATACGTGCCCACTACATAAAAGAAAAATATTGATTTGATTTAAGTATAGGATGTATTTTTATTTAATATCTATACCTTTGTTTTCTTCTTGTTTTTGTAGCTAGAGTACATGCATATAGTCTGATTGAGATGCTTGCATGCTACTTATATATGTTAGATCAAATTAATAACTATGGTTAATTAATGTTTACATAGAAATTTAGGGATGAAATTGTGATGTAGAGTGAAGAGAAAATCCCACCTCGGAATTCAATCATGGGCTGAAGCCTTTATTTAATTTGTTTTCTTTCCATATGGGATTAATGCTTTTGTATTAGCCTTCTCCTTCCTTTTTTTCTACTCTGTACAGGTAGAATACTTTTGAAATTTTAAAATACATAGAGTAGGGAAACATATTGTCACTCCTCAAAAACTAATGCGGCAAAGCATATGCACCTGCAGATAGTTGTAGCAGGTTATGTGGCAACGTGAGTGTGCCATACCCATTCGGCATTGGCTCGCACAAGTGCTATCTGCCAGTGTTCAACCTCACCTGTGACACAAGCTACAACCCCGCACGACTGATGCTCGGCACTCTTCAAGTTGTTGACATCTCCCTCCACAACAGCACCGTGTGAGTCATCAACAACAACCGAGTGCATGGCATCTATGGCGGGGTAGCTAGTGTTAATGTTATCGATTTTGGGATTAGCCATGGAGACACTAGGCCCTTCTCGTTATCAATTCGCAATGAGCTTATTGTCATTGGTTGCGGGGTGCAGGCAGGGTTGTCCCGTGCTGGCAATAACCGGGCCATCCTTAGTAGTTGTTCCTCCTTCTGCTCCTCAAACAAGAGTAGAGCCTATGATGCAAGGTCATCTCCCAATATCGATGACAACGGTGAGTACTGCTACGGCAATGGATGCTGCCAGGCCCGGATCACCATGTCTAGGGACGGCATGCCTAGTGAATTCTGAATTGATTGGATGGACTCCAATAGTGTATGGGATGAGGCATTGCCGCATTCATACTCACTCATTGCAGAGGAAGGGTGGTTCAACAAGCATTGGGTCTACTCCCAGCTGTCACGGTCACTGTCAACAAAATATCTCGCTCCTAGGTTGGAGGTTCAAATTGTTCTAGACTGGGAAATATTGCAGTTGCAACCTATTAACTCACATGCGCCAGCCAATGTGAGTTGGCATCACCAGTATGCCGTGTGTCCCAGCATCTGTAGGAGCAAGAATAGCCTCTGCAAACCAAGGATCAGAGGTTATTCATGCCATTGTAGTGACGGTTACGACGGCAACCCTTACACCACGGATGGATGCAAAGGTTAGCATGGAAGCATCTCGCACACATATGCGAGCTTAATTTGCATCATTGCTTATCTCTACTATTATATATTCTAATTTTATACTCCCTCCCTTTTTTCTTGTCTCCTCTAGGCAGTCGCCCCAAACAGTTTAAAGGTGAGCAACACTGCAACAACGTTTCTGCTATATGTACTACGGTCCATGTAGAACAATAACATGTAACTATATTGTGTATACTTTCAGGTACGAGCGCCGTTGTAGGAGCTGTTGTTGCTGCAGCTGGAGTCGTACTTCTGTTTCTGCTTGGGTTGTTGATTCTGAAGAAACTAAAATACGAGAGGGCTAAAATGTTAAAGCGCAAGTTCTTCCAACAAAATCACGGACAATTATTGCAACAGCTTGTATCCCAAAGTGGTGGTATTGCAAAAAGGATGATCATAACCTTGGAAGAGCTAGAGAAGGAAACACATTGTTTTGATAATGATCTCGTCGTTGGAGGTGGGGGACATGGTATTGTTTACAAAGGGATTTTATCGAACCAACATATTGTAGCCATCAAAAAACCCAAAAACATGGTGCGGATGGAGATCAATGAGTTTATCAATGAGGTAGCTATCCTATCACAAATCAACCATAGAAATGTTGTTAAACTATATGGTTGTTGCCTTGAAACTGAAGTCCCAATGTTGGTCTATGAGTTCATATCTAATGGAACCCTTTACGAGCATCTTCATGTAGAAGGACCAAAATCATTGTCTTGGGATAACAGGTTGCGGATAGCCATTGAGGCAGCAAAATCCCTAGCATATCTTCACTCGGCTGCTTCAACCCCTATAATCGATAGGGATGTCAAGAGTGCTAACATATTGTTGGATGATACTCTGACAGCAAAGGTAGCAGATTTTGGAGCTTCAAAGTACATTCTGATGGATATATCTGGGGTTACCACAAGGGCGCAAGGTACGAGAGGATATTGGGATCCTATGTACTTTTACACAGGCCGATTAACTGAGAAAAGTGATGTTTACAGCTTTGGAGTTGTCCTTGTGGAACTGCTAACCAAAAAGAAACCATTTTCATATTTGTCCTCAAATGACGAGAGCCTTGTTGCACATTTTGTTACCTTGTTTGAAGGAGCGGCACTATTCCAGATCTTAGATCCGCAAGTTATGGAGGAAGGTGGCAAAGAGGTCGAAAAAGTTGCTAGTATTGCGGTTGCATGTGTAAAGTTAACTAGAGAGGATCGTCCGACCATGAGGCAAGTGGAGTTAACACTAGAAGGCACACGTGTGTCTAGGGAGGGCACTTCAGATAATGCATCTCCATCCACAGGAGTAAATTGCACAAAACCACCACTTTGAAGGCAAGGTTTGCGAAAACCACTACAATACATTTTTTTTGCAAAAAACACCATGTCTTCAGTAATGTTTTTGCAAAAAATACTGATCGGCGGATATGGCTCGTTTAAGTGCGTTTATGACAGATGGGGTCCGTTTTCTGCCTACGTGGAATAACTGTTTAGGTTTAATGCGAAAAAAACCCTAAACTTTTTTCCCCGCTTCCCAGGCCCATCCCGAGCACGGTCACACACACGTCCAGATCCCGTCGGGATCGGGTCATTGCCTCTCCCAGGCCCGTCGCCGCCGTGGTCTGCATCACACTAGGCTGGAGCGCTGCCGTGGTCAGCATCCCCCTCGGCACCGGTGCGCACCAAGCTCTGCATCCCCTTGGGCACCGACGTGCTCGAGCTCGGCGACGGAGCCGGTGCTCCCTCCCCCCTCCCGACCAGCCACTGACGCTGGAGCTTGCCGACCGCGGCCCGCCGCACCTTCTCAACGTCAGGAACCGCCTCGCCGGACGGCTACGATGGCGGCGGGGCAACACACGGCTACAATGCTGCAGGTTGTCCCTCATGTCGGACGCTCTTCACAAGGTCCCGCCCGCCGCGCCGCCGAGCGGCTGCTCCCTCCCTGCGGCCACCCCGCTCTCCTGCCTCCTCCCGGCGCTTGCGTCGGCAGCATCCGCCGTGCTCGACCCCGCGCTCTTGCCTCCTCTTGGCGCTCCCGTCGGCTGCCTCCACGGTGTTCAATCCCGCGCTCCTGCCTCCTCTCGGCGCTCGTGTCGGCCTTGTCTGCTGTGCTCGACCCAACAACAACGCCAATGGCAGCACCCTTACCGGATCCGGCCCAGCCGCGATGCTCCGCCGCCGTCCTCGATCTGGATCGAGCCGCTTCTCTGCCCCACGACGACGGCCAACGGCGGGGCCCCCAAGGGTGACCAATGCGCACGCGGAGGGAGGGGACGGACGACAACTTCTGGGCCGGTGAACACGCACCGCTCCAGCGTCACCTCCCGCGCGAGCCGGCTGGTGCCCGTGAACCAGCGCTCGTATGGTGCCGACGACGAGCGGCCAAAAGCCGGCGATGGCGTTCTACACCCACGGCCGGCGACGACAGATCGAGAAGCAGGGGCTAATTGCTTTTTCGTTTTTGATTTAGGGGTGTCTATGTAAAATTCTAGGGTCTTTGTAATTTTAGATTAAAATCTACCTGGTACAAAAAGTCATGCCACGTAGGCAAAAAACGGGCCCCACCTGTCATAAACTCACTTAACTGAGCCCTATCCGCCGATCAGTGTCTTTTGCAAAAAGATTACCGAAGACATGGTGTTTTTTGCAAAAAAAAAGTATTGTAGTGGTTTTCGCAAACCTTGCCTTCAAAGTGGTGGTTTTGTGCAATTTACTCCCATCCACAGAAGTTGAAAGCAACACTGGGGGATCGACCAGACGACACAGCATGGAACTTGAGTTCAGATTATCTGCAGAGCACCCTCGATAGTTTTTCATATTTGAAGATGAGTTGAAGATCAGTGATTTCCTTGCATTTAGGTGACTTCGCCAAGATTTGCTCCGGTGACAGATTTAGTTTGTTGTTATTTAACATAGTTAGTGCAAACTAGCTCTTATTCTGGAACACTCACTGAAGAAGAAATAAAGAAAAAAATATGTAGCCTCACTTCTTCTAAGTCGCTTCAATGTTTGTTTATACCATGTTTTGTCCTGGGAAATAATTATCAAAGCCTCTCTCTCTTATGCTTCGAAGACATGTGCCAGTCATCAACTATCGATCCAGGTCAGCAAACTCTCCTCTGATCCAGCAGGCATCAACATCAGTCGTCTGTTTGCTCTGATCGAGGGCGCGTTGGCGGTCCATATTTTGATGTAACATAGAAAGTCAATCGGAATTTCAAACTACTGCTATAAACCCAACAGGGGTTTCCAGTTTGGTCCGGTTAAACAAGGCACGAAAGTCCATACTTACACCGTTACACGTAAAATTGCTTGTAGAAAAGAGGATATAAGCCCCATAAAAACAGAGCACTTCGCTCTACATATCTGAAATTTAAACCATGTAGAGAGGTATCCCGCTCGATCGATCAGTCACCGTCGAACCACATGGTGATAATGTGGCTCTTGAGTTTGCAGTGGACAATGGTACTGCCGGGGGTGGCGACGCCGGGCTGACTCCAAGGACGCGGCGAGGAGCACTGCCGTAGCAGCCTGAGATCATACCGCCGTATCTTTGGCAACTACCGCTGTGTCTTTGGAAACTACCGCAGTGGATACGTGTGCCAGTGCTAGACAGGCAACCATTGTGCAGATGTCTTCTGGCTGAGGTCTCCGGGTGAAAACCTTGGCGGAGCTAGATCGGATGACGGCGGTGTTCTCGATACCACTTCCTTCTTGGAGGCGTCATCTTGGAGGCCTCGACGATGGATTCTGATGATGTGCACGGTTGCTGGCGGATCTTGTGTTTGTGTTGGTGCCGGCGGGTTTCTGTTTTCTTTCTTTTCTTTCTGCACTAGCCCTTTTGCGGTGCTTTCCTCCTTTGAAGGTGTTCTTGTTACTCCTCTTCTGATCAATGAATTTGGCAGTCCTCCTGCCAACATTCAAAAAAAAAACCTACAAGTAGCGATTCACCAAAGGTTTCAAACTCGGGTTGATGTTAGACAACAGTATGAACCCACGTGCTTTCAGTTATTAACTCATCAGCCATGTGCATATGCTTCCTTTAGAAAAATCGGTATAATTTCTTTTTAGAAAGGAGATCTAAAGAATACTCAGAGTGATAAAACATCAGGTTTGTTGAGTACTGCTACATCGGACGGCTCACCAACCTCATCGATTTTTTTATTTTATTTTTTTGCGGGTGAACCTCATCGATGTTTCTCACCAGGAAGTAACCACGTTTTCTTATCCTTTCGAGGATGGTATGGGGAAAAAGTATCCACGTTTTCTATGAGGAAACGACACACGACAGACACGCCCGACATTTCACTGCCCCTAGAGTATCTACAACCGGACTTGCCAAATCCGGCATCCTATATGTCCACGGACGCGCCTGGCCGATTCCACGGACATTGACCGGGCAATGCTCAGATCTCTACAACCATGTACCTGATATCCATACGATATCATATATTCATACTAAAGCAGGCGACATGAAACTAAACTAGGTAAATTATCAAACAGACATAGAAATGCGATAGCAAACGGACATAGACAAGAAATGGACATACAAATGTACATAGTCCACGTAACTGATCACCGAAAGTGCACCACGATACAGCATACAACAGACGGACGAGCTTTAGACTAAGATTACTAATAACGAAAATAAACACGGAGAGAGAATTGAGCTTCACCACTACCTCATAGGCCCTTTGCCCTTTCGGTCTCTGGCGCTGGTGTAGGCGTTCGGGTAAGCGTCAGCGACACGACGTGGGTTGTGAGAGCCATCGATGATGTCGGACAAGGAGGAGTCGATGTAGTACTCCATTCTCCGGACAGCACGGTCCTACTGCCTTTTTAGCTTCGCCGCCTAGAGAAACTCCCGCGTGGACTGCTCCAGCCCTAATCGGAGTGCCTTCGCACTTTTCTGACGGAGCTGGCGGGCGTCCTTCTCCACCATCGTAAGTGAGCAGCACTAGACCCTCGCGAGGAGCCGCTCCATTTCATAGGGCACCGTCGGCATCCCGTGGCAACGGCGGGAGAACTGTGCGATCGCTTCCGCCGGCGCCGTCCTCTCCATTGTCCGCTGCATTTCATGGCGCAGGCGGAGCGGGCACTAACACCCACCACTGCCCTTGAGGAGCAACGGCCAAAGAGTTAGGAGGGCAGCGGCGCCGAGTGGGTGCACCGTGCGGAGCTCTACGCGGTGCGGGACGGGCCTGCTCCGGCATCGGCATTGCGGCAGTATGCGACATGGGATGTAGCAGAGACGGAGCTGCCACTCGTGTCCACCCGCGAGCGTTGTTGCGCGATGTTGAAGCCAGCTCGTCTTCGTTGCCCACCGCATCGCGGAGGAAGGCGTCCCAATTGTCGCCGGATCCGTCGCCTCCACCTCAGCGGAAGCTGGACATCGTGGATGGGGGGGGGGAGGTGGGGATCAGATTTCGAAAAGGCAGGAGAAGAGACGAAGAGCGGAGTGAAGCGAAGTAATCTAGGGTTCAAAACCGCGACTTTAGATACGAAGAGCGGAGTGAAGCACTAGTAGAAAATGGGCCTTTAGTCCCGGTTCTTACATGAATCGGGACAGATGGGCCTCCACGTGGCCGCTGCGGAGAGCCCAGGCAGGAGGGCCTTTGGTCCCGTTGGTGGCACTAACCAGGACCAAAAAGCATCCACGCGTCAGCAGCTGGTAGGAGCTGAGGTTTTTTTTGAAAGGGGGTGGTTTAGGAGTTTTGGGGGTTAATTTAGGTTGTTAATTAGCTAGCTAATAGAGAGAAGTGTTCTCTCTTATCTCCGTGCTTGGTTTACCAATGCTACTGCTATGCCTAAACATGGCTTAGATTGAAGTGAAGGCAACATGTGGTACATGTCGAAAGTAATACTAATCCTAACTTGATGAAGTTTGGATTGTACTACTTTAGACATGCACCACATGCATGTTGTCTTCACTTCAATCCAATCCATATTCATTTCACCCATTGATATATAATAACTCTTCATGCTCGCATCATGCATCATCATAATAACAAGTCCTACTAATCATCATCATACAACGTCTACTCGTTATTAATAACAAGTCATACGATCATCATCCTCATAGCCATCGAACCAACCCTACTTAATTGTTCTTAGCACATGATCATCTGTATTAGGTAGCACCTAAATACCCTCTTTAAGGTAAAATAGCATAAAACAATATAGAGGCCGACTCTTCATTATGGAGAATGGAGATCATCCTGTCTCCAATTCTTGCGCTTCGCTTCCTTTTGCTTTCAAGAACCTCCTTACGACTGTCCATACATTTTTTCCATTCTTTGATTGTCATGTCTCCACTTCTTTTAGAAATCCGGTATAGACAGTTGAGATTCGTAGGATGACCTGGCTGTATATTCAAAACATCAAGGCGACCATGCTGATACATCAGATGAGGCACACAATCATTCGAGATTATCTGTTGAAAAACATAGTAATAACTTCGTAGTTAGCAATGATGTACTAGTTTTAGAAGTATGCAAAAGATGCACGGATATCGTAATAGTAAAAAATCTTACCAGGGTGTCTCCATGGTGTTGATACGTCTCCAACGTATCTATAATTTATGAAGCATTCATGCTATTTTATTATCTGTTTTGAATGATTACGGGCTTTATTATACACTTTTATATTACTTTTGGGACTAACCTACTAACCGGAGGCCCAGGCCATATTGCTGTTTTCTTGTCATTTTCAGTATTTCGAAGAAAAGGAATATCAAACGGAGTCCAAACGGAATGAAACCTTCGGGAGCGTGATTTTTGGAACGAACATGATCCGGGAGACTTGGAGTACAAGCCAGGGAAGCTTCGAGGAGGCCAGGAGATAGGAGGGCGCGTCCACCCCCCTAGGCGCGCCCCCTGTCTCGTGGGCCCCTCGAGCCTCCCCCGACCGACTTCTTTCACCTATATATTCCCATATACCCTAAAAACATCGAAGAAGAAGATAGATCAGGAGTTCCGCCGACGCAAGCCTCTGTAGCCACCAAAAACCTCTCGGGAACCCGTTTCGGCACCCTGCCGAAGGGGGGGATCCCTCACTGGTTGCCATCTTCATCATCCGGGCGCTATCCATGACGAGGAGGGAGTAGTTCACCCTCGGGGCTGAGGGTATGTACCAGTAGCTATGTGTTTGATCTCTCTCTCTCTCGTGTTCTCTCTATGGCACGAACTTGATGTATCGCGAGCTTTGCTATTATAGTTGGATCTTATGATGTTTCTCCCCCTCTACTCTCTTGTGATGAATTGAGTTTTCCCTTTGAAGTTATCTTATCGGATTGAGTCTTTAAGGATTTGAGAACACTTGATGTATGTCTTGCCGTGCTTATCTGTGGTGACAATCGGATATCACGTGATCCACTTGATGTATGTTTTCGTGATCAACTTGCGGGTTCCGCACATGAACCTATGCATAGGGGTTGGCACACGTTTTTGTCTTGACTCTCCGGTAGAAACTTTGGGGCACTCTTTGAAGTGCTTTGTGTTGGTTGAATAGATAAATCTGAGATTGTGTGATGCATATCGTATAATCATGCCCACTGATACTTGAGGTGACAATGGAGTATCTAGGTGACATTAGGGTTTTGGTTGATTTGTGTCTTAAGGTGTTATTCTAGTATGAACTCTATGATAGATTGAACGGAAAGAATAGCTTCATGTTATTTTAGTACTAACTCTTGAATAGATAGAACAGAAAGGATAACTTTGAGGTGGTTTCGTACCCTAGCATAATCTCTTTGTTTGTTCTCCGCTATTAGTGGCTTTGGAGTGACTCTTTGTTATTTGGTTGCAGGGTTGTTTGAGAGAGACCATCTTCATCC